GGTCCGCAGCTTAGGAGTACTCCTCGACCCGGAGCTTTCTTTGGAAGCTCAGGTGACAGCGGTGGCGAGGAGCGCCTTCCTTCAGCTTCGGCTGATTAATCAGCTGCGCCCCTACCTGGACTACGACTGCCTGGCGACGGTGACACACGCGCTGGTGACTTCCCGCGCCTAGACTTCTGTAACGCACTTTACGTGGGGCTTCCCCTGAAGACGGTCCAAACGCTTCAACTGGCGCAAAATAGAGCTGCCAGGTTGCTGACGGGGACGGGGCGTTATGCTCACATGACTCCAGTCCTCCGTCAGCTTCACTGGCTTCCCATTGAAGCCCGGGTCCAATTCAAGGTGTTGATTATGACCTATAAAGCCCTAAACGGCTTGGGTCTTGGCTACCTGAACGAGTGCTTACATCCGTATATTCCCGACCGCCCTTTGAGATCTGCGGGAGAGTCCCTTCTCCGGGAACCCTCCATGAAAGAAATTAGGAGAATAAGTACTCGGAGGAGGGCTTTCTCTGCGGTGGTGCCCAACCTATGGAATTCACTCCCCAAAGAGGTCCGCCTCGCACCGTCGTTACTGGTTTTTCGGCGCCAGGTAAAGACCTTTTTATTTAAACACCATTTTAATTGTTAAAACATATGATCTGGCCAGGGCAACTTCTTCTTCCTTCTCTTTTCTCCTCCTATATTATTTATTTACTTATTTTATACTGATAATTTTAATTTTATATTATTATGTTTGTAACTCAGTGTATTTTTTGTATTTTTGTATTTAATGGTAATTTATTATGTTCTATTGTATTTCAATGTATTTTATTGTGTTGTAAGCCGCCCCAAGGCTTCGGCAAGGGGCGGCATAGAAATGCTATAATACTACTACTACTACTACTACTACTACTACTACTAATAATAATAATAATAATGGCACGATTGTCTTCTCCAGTGACTCTTGTGTTCCTCATGATGAGTCATTTTTGCTTCCAGGGAAAGTTCTGGCTTGATTTGAGCTCACTTGTTCTTCCTTCTGTTGCTCAAGGCTCTCCCCCAGTACCATATTTTGAACACATCATTTTCCTTCCTGTCTGCATTCCTCACTGACTAGCTTTCCCATCCACACACAGTGATCAGTCATTCAATTGTATGGATGATCTTGGCCTTGGTCTCCAATGAAACATTCTTACATTTGATTATATTTTCTAGTTTTTCACTGTTGTCTTCCAAATCTCAGTCTTTTAATTGCTTGGCTGCAGTCTTCATCTGAATTGATAATTGAGCCAAGCTATGCAAAAACTTTCACAATTTCAGCTTCTCCATTGTTGATATTAAATTGTGTAATGCTTATGCAGTCATGGTTTTTGTTTTCTTAATGTTTAGCTGCAGTCCTACTTTTGCAATTTCTTTTTCCACTTTCATCGGGGTTCATTTCAATTTGCTGCTGCTTTCTGTCAGTAGTATGTACCATCTGCATGTATCCTTTGTCAATTTTCACTCCTCCTTCCTCTGATTATAATCCAACTTTCTGTATGCTATGTTCTACATTGAACTGATAGAGAAATAAAATATACCACTATCTGGTGCCTTTGCTTATCGGAAACCATTCTGGCTCCCCATATTCTGCACCAACAGTAGCTTCTTCAAGACAGTTCAGTACTGATTGATTTGTACACCCAAGTACACCCATTTCTTTCAGGATAATCCATAGCTTCTTGCAATCCACACAACCAACAGCTTTGATGTAGTCTAAAAAGCATAGACTGATGTGCTTTTGAAATTCTTTGTGGTGCTCCCGGAGCCAGCATGCATTTTTGATAGGACTCTAAGTGCGTCTTTCTTTTTGGAATCCATCTTGAACATTCAGCATTTCTTGCACGATACAGAGTGTAACAGTTCCTCTGGTTCATGGTCTGTCAGTTGAGGTCAGTAATGGAAATTTGTTCTTCATGTGGATTTTAAAGTCCATAGGAATGTTATTTAAGTTTTAGTTTGGTACTATACTTCTGTTAAGGATCTTTACATTAAGTCTGAATATTATACCAGGTTTCAGTATTAACAGTTCATGGTCACGATCACAGTCTGCTCCCAGGCTTGCTTTGGCAGTGAGAATTCTCCATCTCCCATTTACCACAACATTGTCTATTTGATTTCTATATTGGTGATCTGGTGATGTCCACAGGTACAGTCATCTGACTGGATGCCTGAATCAAGTATTTACATTAAGCAGACTGCTGGCTTCATGGAATTCCATGAGTTGTTCTCCTGCCTCGTTTCTGACCCCAAGGCCAAATTCTCCCATGTTTGATTCTGTTTCCTTTCCGAATTTTTGTGTTCCAGTCACCTATGCTAATCAACATGTCTTGTTTTGATGTGTTCTCAATTTTCTCTTGGACACATGCAGAAAAGTTTTTGATTTCATCTTCTTCTTTAGCATCTATTGTTGGAGGGTAGACCTGAATGATGGTTATGCTGACAGATTTCCACCATTTCCGATTCATATGATTTTGCACTTTGCCTGTCCTTCATATTGCCTTACTATTAGAGTGCCTCCATTTCTCTTGAGTTTATCCTTTGCATTTGTCTGACTGAAAATGTCCCTGTCCAGTCCACTGTAGCTTGTTCACATCAAGTATGGTGATGTTTGAACGTGCAATTTCTTGCTTTACAGTTTCTGTTTTGCCTTCGTTCATACTTCTCACGTTCCATGTTCCAATTGCATGCTTCATGCAGTGTCCATCTTTTATTTCACCTCTCTGCATGTCAGCCACTAGACTTTCAGCTTTGATCTAGTTTTGCCATTGGTGACAGGGCTATTTGCACTTGTCCTTTGCTGTCCCCAGTAGCTGAGTGCCTTCTGACCTGGGCATTTTATCTTCGGACATTATCTCTTATTTCATTTTGGATTGTTTCATCAAAGGGTTTACAAGGTAAGAAAAATCAAACATGGTTTACATCTTTCTTCTGTGCAGTACCAACCAGAGTTAGCTCAAGCATCACTGCTGTTGCCTGTTAAAGATCCTCTACCAGTGTCATCTGCAACTATTGCTGCTGCCCAGTAGCACTAGTGGGGGAATGCACATGAAAATCCCAAAATTACAAATGAGCCCATGGGCAGAAAATGTTGGAAAACCTTGATCTGTGGCACCAACCTCTGAAGCTTACTGGGTAAATAATTCTTTGTTATTCTTGTGACCAATAACAAGTTATGGTAAGAAAGCTGCCTTGACTTTCTTTTACCCTTCCAAGTGGGATAGAAATCAAATCAATTAATAAGCATGTTTGTGTGCATGTGCATAGAGAAGCCCAGTTGGAGAAATATTTGGGATGGGAAAGCTGGGAAATAGAAGGAATCAAAGAGGCAAAGTAAATATCTAGAAAATAGTGAACAATGGAAAACAAAACAGAACAGAACAAAAAAAAAGATAGGGCAAATGGAAGGTCATGCTAAACTGGGGGTACACAAAGAAAGTATGCAAATGTACTTATAGTTATGGAGTAAAAAATGATTGTGCTGGAGAAGTATAGACATGATTACGTGATTAATCACATTTAAGTCAATATTCTCTTCCTCCCTTGTTATAAATTGTCATAAATGTGCTACTCTCCCACTTTCCTTTGACACAACATACTGTATGAACGACTCCATTACTGAAAAACAATTCTAAGGGTTATGGATTAGATTGATAGCTTTGAATGCATTTTAAAGCAGAATTTAATTGTCATTACCATGGTTGCTTAAATCTGTGAAAGGCAGACCCTCATGTAATTTATTTCCACTTAAATATGTCAAACAAAAATATTTAACCAGAATATTTAATAGATCCTTTTTTCAGTTAAACTTCAAGAAACATCTATATTTTACTCTTTGTTTTCATTTTCAAATTGATGCAAGAGGAACAGGATTTTAGAGATTAATTATGAGCAACCAATGAGAACTGAATGAGACACAGCTATATAGAGGACAGAAGCAAAATAATAGACTGTCTATTGACAGTATTAATGCACATAAAACATAGATGTTTAGTTTATAATCCAAGTGGAACTAAATTTTTAAAAAAATGAGGCTTGATTATACAAGGGCTTATGCTATCCGTGTACAGAAGCTATCAAGATGTATGTCCATGTAACTGACGTAGGGTAGCACCCTTACAGGCAATATGTTTCAAATGCAGCTGGACAGATTAGGAGAAAGACGTGGTATCACCAACACCCTTATTTGTTACGGACTTAAAAGGGGATCAGTTGCAAAGCTCTTTAAAACTCCCCTGCATCCACAATCATTCACTGCAGCAAGAATAGCCAGAAGAACCAACAACAGCCAACTTCTATCTTGAAAAGTAAAACAGCCACAGGATTTACAAGGAAGATTACATGGAATCCCAAAGCATATAAAGTTAGACAACAGTATAGGGAAAAGTTAATATATATTTTTAAGCGTATGGCACATAAGGCAACTTAAGTAACTGTATGCTTGTGACAGAAGTTCAGGAACATTATGTATACCTAAATTCAGGATTCAAAGTACTTAATTTCTAGGAGTGGGTGGGGGAATAAAGTATCAACACATCATCTTCTGATCTGGAAGCCCTTCCTCTTAAACGTTGATGCTAAGGCACCCTCTGTAGTTATTCTTTATCTGTCCAGGAGTCCTTTTGTCCATTCTTATTCATATGTTTCATCATTGAATATTGGCACAGAAACAGATGAATTCTGGTGCAAATCAAGCCCTCTTCATCCAGATTCCTAAGAAATGCAGGCTGTAATTCTCCGCACCTTTAGTTGTGTTGTTTAGAAGAGGAATCTGCTAGGATAAACTACCTGGTTTATACTATGGCTTAATCTTCCCCTCTTGTCACAATCACAGAATTACTTAAACACTAAAATCACAGTGTGTTAAAGTTGGCCAGAAAAAAATGCTATGACATCATTATGAAGCAAACTAAAGGTGAAGTAGGTAAGTTTAGTTATAACAGAATTCCTAGAAAAGTGTTTTTTTCCCTGAGTACTTACTGGTGACGTGTGTACTTGGGTTATTCTTAATTGGTTCTCCAAATCTTGTACCTTGTTTTTTAGCTCCATATTTTCTGTTTCAAGTTCATGAATCTAAAAAAAATGCAGTTTTCAGAAAGGTGAGAGGACATACAGTGTGTGGGGGGAGGCAATGAATACAAAATAGTAACACTCCTAGAATAATCCTAGAAAAATAAAACATTATGTAACAAAACGTTTGTCATTATTCAATAAAGAGGAGTGTAGAGAGGCAAGAGGCTGATATTAATCCATTATATCTTTCCTCCTAAGGATTCATATCTAACATTATTTTATGTATTCTATCAATCAAAGTGTGCAAACCAACGAGTCCCATGAAGAACTGGATCTTACAGGAAAAAGAAATAAGGTGGATATAATACTGTACTACACCGCATACTCAGAAAACCCTTTTTATTTTCCCAATATTTTAAGGGTTGACTGTTATTTTAATATGGGTTTTATGGTTAGAATTTCATTTGGATGCTGTGTTTTGTTTTATCTTTTGTCTTACTGCTTTTTGTCCTGATATTACAGTAAGGGATGTCCTAAAAAGATTTAAATAAATAAATAAATAAATAAATAAATAGCAGATTCTGCAGAATTAATGCACTGCGCTGTCTCAATATAAATCAAATCTGTATTTAGTATAGGAGTTGATATTTGAAATACTCCTATAATAGATCCATTAAGCACAGCTTATATATCTACTCCCAACAAGTTCGGCTTAGCAAAATACCTTTATAATATCCTTGAAAGCCTTTGGTTGCATCTACTTGGTCATGTTTCCTAAGAAAGGGTTCTGTGACAACAGGCATCTCTTCCAACAATGTTCTGAAGAGTCTCCAAATTCTCTGCAGTAGATTTTCCAGGCATGGGGGACAGATACTGCCCTCCCTCCCCATTCCACTGAAGGGCTTCCACTGCCTTAAAAGAGTCTTCCATCAGGTCTTCAATTGGATACACCCAATTCCGTTTTGACAGGATCAGGTTCAATTTGTTTGATTGTTGCCTTTATTCCAGGATGGCAGATTAGTTGAAGAATACTCTCTCTATTTTTCTCTAATATCAGTTAATCACACTTCCAATCCTATTTTTGTTTTGTTATAATTCATCATGCATCTAATGAAGCTATCCAGAAGACTGAAGCCTCATACTGGCTTTTTCCATTCTTGCTTTGATGACTACCAAGTCCTGCTGTTCTCCATTCCTATCTGGAAATTTTCCCAAGGACTGCTTTACTTCTGCAGCCATAAAGATTTAAAACTTGCCTCTTACAAAATCAAAAGCTCAGGTACTCATGTAAATGCCCCCTGAAATCTGTGCCTATGTTGATTATACATATACAGAATAAGCATATTTGATTATAATATTAAAAGCACTTGCTGAAGCCATTTAAATAATGTATGGTTAGTTACAGAGTATGGCCTCTCTAATTTTATGCTGTTTTAATGATTCTTTCATAATTTTGGAAATATATTTTTATTATTCTGCTATATCCCAATGGTATTTTACAGATCAAAATAAAACAATATTTAAACTGAAAAAGAACAAGTATCTGCAACTTACTCTTTTCTGTAACCCTGCTATCTGTTTTCGTGTTTCAACATCCTTTCCTCCAGATTCCAGAAATTTCCTGTAAGCCAGGTCAAATGCTTGACCAATAGTTAAAGTTATCTCTTCTGCCTTTATATAAAGCAAATATTACCATTAGCATGTAAACCCTATTTTATTTAACAAAGAAATCCCCTAAAAGCACATACGGATTCATTACCTATAACTTTACATGCATCATTTCTGCAAATAAGCTTAACTGGGTGCCAACTCTACAAGTCAATGAATCAATGAAGAATATATTATCCCAATGATAACAGAAAGAAGAGTATCTTAATAAATGCATATACTATTGGTGAACTTTTTGCTGGGAACCCTTGATCTACTTCCTCATGTAACACATAAATGCACCATCCCACGATTTTCATAAAATCTACTCATGATATAATTTTTATATAACTTGTTGTAAGACAGTTTAATGATCACTGTGAGGCTGTTTGGAAAAGAGTGGCTTTCAAATACACCAGGCTGCTTTAAAGGCGATTGCTGAGAGCAGAAAATATAAATTTAGAGCTGTTCTCCATGTTCCTGTTCAAGTTACATTTGGATGAGATAAAGACTAGGAAAAAGGGTCTTCGGGCAGTATAGAAGATAGGCTGCAAGTATGGAACTATTTTTAAGACAGGGCCACAAACACTGTAAGTAATCTGTCTCTGAGAAAATTACAGCTAGACATGAAGTTTTTCCAAATGGCTCAAGTCTTGGGCCCGGCACAGAGCTGGATTTGTGTGCGCTTACACACAGTTTTCTGATCAGTGAGCAAAAGCAGCTGTGGGCCAATGAATACCAGTGCTGCCACCCAGCATAGAACCAGGCCACTGAGTCACAACTCTGGCTCGATTGTGTGACATAAACAAACCTATCTGAATATGGGCAGTGAAACCGCATTACATGTAGCGGAAAAAAGGCATAAGGACAGGGAAGCGGAGAGAGAAGGAGCCGTGACCTGAGATGTAGGACAAGGGAAATGCCCAAAACACTGCTTGTGTGGCTGTGTAAGCAGTTCCTTCCGCACAGCTCATTAGTCCAATAAAAATCAGAGATTTACTGCAAGAGAGTAGAACAAAAATATTTCCTCAAACCTAGAACACTGAGGACTGTTTCTCATGTATTTTTTTAAAATGGTGATTCAGGATGATCTGCATAAATGTCAAGAGCAGATGTAGTTTTATTGGGCATGCATTTTAATGCGTGAAAGCAAGGCCCAGTTCGGCCTGTTTACTTCTACATAGTAGTTGAAAATAGGATATGGGGGCAATGCACATCTGAAGCCTCCATGCTTCATGAGACTCAGCACATAATCACTGGGGTGTTTACATCAATTCCTAGATAAGGCCTTAGACTGAGAAGAGAGTGGGCGGTGGCCCTGATCTGGACTTGCATGGATACTAGCCTTGGTTGGAAAGTATACATAGAGCTAGCTTCTGGTAGGATTGGGACAGGATTTAGAAAAGGATAATGGGAATTTTAGTGTGTAATAACGTATATAAAAATACCAGAAATTGCAAGCATAAAGCCTATGTGACAAATGGCTTCAATGATATGAATTTTTGCTTCCTTTTCTGTCTGTGCAGCACTTGGATCACCTCAAAAGAAACAACAATTTTCTGCATTAAACATGCCAAACTCAAACCAGCTTTAGGAAAAAAATGCATACTTACACACTTTTCACTGTCAAAGACATAGCACAGGTGTTTATTTGATTCAGAATCTTTGCATATGAAAGTGAATATTCTTTTGTCAGTTTTGTCATCAGCACAAAACGATATCCTATGGAGCTGGCAGTTGTGCTGGACTTCCTGCAAACCATAATGGAGTAATTCCATCTCGTGAGTTACATTCCGGGGTTTGAACATGAATGCCTAGTGCAATCTTCTAGATGACAGAGTCCTCCTCATCCAAAAGGAATCTTACTACTGTTGTTACATTACATTTATATCCTGTCTTTTCTTCCCCTTGTGAGGAACCCAAGGTGGCTTATATAGTTCTATTTCATCTTCGTAAGAACATCTCTCTGAGGTAGGTTGGGCTGAGAGTCTGTGACTGGCCCAAAGTCACCCAGTTGGCTCCATGGCTGAGCCGGGACTAGGACCCAGATCGTCTGAGTCCCAGTCTGCACTCCAACCACCACACCACACTGGCTCGGCAGTATTCCAAGTATCAAGTGGTGTTCTTGACTCTAACAACAATATCGTTTCTCATATTAAACACTGCTCTTATACACCAAGCAGACGCCTTTGTTAGACATGTCTGCAATCTGTATAGGCATCTGGGTCTAATTTTCAGCCACACAAGGCAAAGAAGCATAAACACAAGCTGTTCCATTGCAGAGCCTGGGAAAGCTCCAGCTCCATTCACAGGCCTCTTTAGCTGGATCACACTCAAAGCAGTTTCTGCACAAACATCTCATTGCTGTACATAATGTTCTGTCAGTTGACATGGCTCTATATGTACTGAAGTAATTGGGATGGCAGTATCATGTTTTCAGACAGAAGGATAGAATCACGATGTATAAAGCAAGTAAGGATTACCAGTTCTTATTCTAACATCCCAATCAAAGCCCATGCACTCAAAACATAAAAACAACTTCTCCAGTAACAACAATGAATACTGACTGCAGGATTTTTTTAACCACTCACCCAACAAATTTCAAATATGAGACTCAGGATTAAATGACTGCTTACACCGTAGCTGAAACTGTCTCTCATTCCTTGAGAAAATATGGCATCCTTCTCAAACCAATTTAACTCTGTGGTTCCTTGGTGGTCTTTGCAAACTCTGGCCTAATTAACTGTCTATCTAGGGCCATAGCCAGGAGAAAGATCTCATGGTGCAGTGCAGGAAACAGCTCTGAAAGTGGGCTTGCACAGCTGGAAACAAAGAAAGGAGGCATAAGTCTTCCACTTCCTTGAGGGACAGCTCCTCCATTGTCTCCACAATTTTCCTATGTACTTCTGCAAAGAGAATAAACTCCTGCTCTGCTTTACAATCCTGAATAGCACCATCCTTGTTTCTCTGCTTTCTGCTGGCTTTTTCTTTTAATGCGCTCTTTCTGCTGTTCAACCCTTCCCTGTGCAGCCTCTCTTCCTTCTTATCTATTGTGCTCACTTCTCATTACCCATATCCATAGGTCCACATACATTTCTTTGGGGGTGCCCTCAGATGCAAAGATGTGTGATGACTTTCAGTCATTCCTTGGATATACAGAAACACAGGATTCATAGAGCTGGAAAGGGCCATCTAGGCCATCAAGTCCAACAGCACAGGGATATAACTAATTCTGTGATTTTCAACATAGCTGGACTCAAACTTAGGACTTTTACCTGCTTCAATGGACAGGGATGGAACTGGAAATACATGAACTTGAAATAGCACAGTTCAGCTACTGTGAGCTTGGCTTAATATTATATTATTGACATATAATTATTTTTCACCCGTATATTGGGAGAAGGCATGGTATCAGTTCATGCTGTCAAGTCGACCTTGAGCTATACCACTTTTTTAAGAGAATGGATATGAAACAGTCTTTTAAACATTGATACAGTTAATTTACAGAGTTTGAAAAGGTTTGGCCTCTGTGTCTCAGGACATTAGAGGGGAAGAAAAAGGAGAAGAGTTGATTCTCACCTTTGATTTTGGTTCCAGAATTTTTACTCCATATATTGAGATTTGTAACTCAACCTTTGGTGTTTTTTGACCTTCAGATTTCTTGATATGTCTTGCAAACTGGAAATTGGTAACAAATTACCATGTAAGAATATGAACAAGTTGAATATTGCACCACAATTTAGGATGCAGAATTCTGTATTGCAATTTGACATAATTATAAATGAAAAAGAAAACATTTCCTCAAACACACATAACTCTATCTCTATTTCCCTGTTCATCATGTTAGAGATCTCTAACAGCCAGTAGAACTTTTTGGGTAGTGACTTGACAATTATACAGTCCTGTCCCATATAATACTCTCCTAATTTGTGAGCTCAGCTTGCTCAGGCAAGTGGCTAGGCAGGCACTTTATCTTTAAACATGCTAGATAATTCATCTGGTACTGAATTATTTATCCTTTTAATATTTGGATTATATAATGTTTGAATTTCTATTTCTGATTTTTCCTTTGATCATTCCCTTCATTGAGAATTTGTACACACTGAAACACAGGCTACATTTTCTTAAGTAAAAATATATATGAATTAATAATCCAGCTAACAGAATGACTGTAACACTGTTCGCTGTTCCTTCAATCCAAATGCAGTACCTGTGAAATATATACTGTAGTTGCAGCAACATTTGTTCCCCAGGTTAAAATCTGTTTCAGAAGCCAGAATGAACTGGCTGCCACCAAAGTTACTAATGAGCCACTCAGGATAGTCTTAGGATTCACCAGATCTTTGTTCCCAAAACAGAATCAGAATGTCATGTTTGTCCTAGTCATACATTATCCTTTCACTTATGTCAATGTAGTTTGTGTTAATTATAGTTAATAGCAAAACATTTGCAAAATGGCACTGGCAACCAAAAACAACCGGACAACAGAAAACCCGCAGAACACATGGCGTTCACGTACGTGGTTCTGCGCCTACACACACAGATGCTCTTAACATTACTTAGCCCGGCAATGACAATGAAACTTGGTTAGTAGGTCAAAAGTTAGAAGATCCTTTAATGTGATTCTTCAATACAGTACTCGGTGGAAAAAATGTTGGCTAAAGGAATGCTTAACGGAGAAGGTCTGATGTGGTAGCAAGTAGCACATATTGCCTAGCTAAGCACTTGAGGTTGCAATTATTCTTTTTCCCCTCTGTTCAGCAGTGTTCAGGACCTCCCTTCCCCCGCCAATTTATTTGCTGCTTCTCGTGAAGGATTCAGCTTGCACAATGATTTAGTGTTTGATTACTTCGCCATGGAGCAGTGCTGAACTGAAGGTAGCCCAGCTGCAGACTTGTGGTGGTGGTGGTAGAGACACTTAAAAAAACAACAACAACTAACTGGAGTTAGAGTAGGCAGTAGGATCACAGAGATTATGTTTAGCTTTTGTTGAACGCAGTATCAAGAACTTAATGCAATACGAAAAGGTACTGGGGAGAAGACTCTTATGTTTTCTCCTATTAGAATGGGTCTTCTAATATAACAACAGCTGAAATCGAGACTGCTTCCTGTTTTCCACTGAGCAGCAGACATGGAGAGCAACTGGAAGGGCTGTGGGAAGCACCAGCATCAACAAGCTACAGCTCAGTGCCCAAACTGCAGGGAGGATGAGCAGAGCAGCCTCCTCATTCGTCTAGAGGGCCACACATTGCCCATACCTGCACTAGAGTGTCCAAATATATCCTTTCCTTGGGAGCATTCGGTTTGATCTTCCGCACACCATTTCCTTTCTTTTGTACAAAAAAAAAAAAGTTACCACCAGTTAGGAAATCTGTCCCTGATCTGGGGTTCTGCTTGACTTCATGAGGCTCACAGTGAAAGATTTTGAAAACCTCGTTTTGATTAGAATCATGGAATATGCTGCTTCAAAAACATGAAGAAAGCATTCAAATGGCAACTTTTGGAAGCCTTTATGGAACAGACGTAAAATATTACTAAACTCTCCTAACATCCATGGTCCCTGTGGTAGCTATGATTTATTCTATTTTTTTCCACATTGGTGCAAAGAAACAGAAAGCTCTCCAAATGAAATGGAATATTCCAGCTGGAGAAGCTTATATAAGGAAGTTGATAATGCAACAAGGGTGTATCTTTTCAATAACTTAAACAATGACTGGCCCAATATAATGACTTAAGTACTGATTGTAGTGAGATAAATTAAAATCTGGAATTGAAATACAAAGGACAAATTAAGTTTGCCAAGAACACATCTTTTTGGCTGTAGAACATCAGCACCACCTGCTGGTAAAAATCAAATTATATGTAGTGTTGTATGTTACAGTTTGATAGACTGGAAACCTTTCGGGGAAAGGAAGAGGAGAAGGGGACCAGGAAGAGATTAAACTTTATTGCTCCTAGGTTGTTGAATGTTTCACCCCACAAGAAAATTATCAATAGACGTTTTACTTGGATGCAATTTCAGGGAGGCTCAAGTAATTACAATGAATTATAGTCAAAAGTGACCAAGCAACATTTTTGAAAATGCAAATTTGCATGGCTACTTACCACTGGATAGAGGCTGAGAACATGTAGTATCTCTTAGCATGCTCTCAAGCTCTTTGAACCATAAGGTTTTTGATGGAACAAGTGCCTTCAACTTGGATCACCATCAAAACACATGAAACATTGAAAACCACCACCACCACCACCACTATTTGACCCTCTGATTTCTTTCCACTAATAGGAGTCTAAACACTTAAAAACATGTTCCTTCTCTTTCCAATTAATTAAGCTCTTTTTGAAGTTGTGATACTGCTTGGGTTTCATGAAATTTTAACTGAAATATTTCCTAATTAGGAATGAAATGATATGAAGACTTCCTTATTTTCACCATTCGGAATCCTCAGACAGCTCATGCTTTAAGCTGGATCACAGAAAGTTTATGATACCTTTTAAAAAAGAATTTAAGGGAGGAGCTTTTAATATAGCACGAACTGTAGGACCTTTCATTTTTCTAATTGCTTCTCCTCATTCCCTGCCTCCCCCCAATACCTTCCAAAGTGCATGACACCATTTCTGTACACCCCTCTGTGCTTTTTGCTTGCAAAGTGATCCAGTCATAGAATCTCTATGTAAATAGTGGCCATATGTAAAATGGTCCATAGATTTAAATTAGAGATAGAAAAAGATCCATAATACCCTGAGGATCAATCTACTGATGTAAGAGGGCACCTTCTTAATAGTATAATTAAGGAATGAGAAGAGTCTTGTGGCCAATGCATGGTTACAGAACCCCTTTCTACTGGAGCAAAACTCACCCTCAGTTTATTTTTAATGGATTGCAGAGACTTTGTGTTTGCTTGTTTGTCTTTCTGACATTGTGGTTTAATTTGGTATTGCAGTAAGAGTTTTAGCATTGGTGTATTTAGTATTGGCTGAAGCATCCTATCATCTGCTCTAAGTGTTTGGAAGCAAACAAAGGCTGATAACAGAGTTAGATGTTGTTTAGACTTGATTTTGTGCCAGATGTAGTTCATAGTTCCATTATAAGATTGCAAAAAATACTTTGCTAATTAGATACTGTGATGAAATAGACCAAAATTAAGTTATAGGCTGGGTTTAACAAAGAAATATTTGACTAATCAATGCAAAATATGAAACTGCATTATGAATTAATGTTTATAATTTAAAGTCATATGGCTGGTATCTGTGCCTAATTGACCTCTCATAGATCCATGGAATGCTAATAATGTACTTTCCCTCTTTCAATTCGTAACCTGAAGGGCAGAATAAAAAACACTTAAACAGTTCACAACAAATTTATCTGAGCTGCTGCATCAACATAAAGTTGTCAAATGAGTGTTTGCATACTCGTGGCTATTCACAACCTCAAATGCAAACCTGATCTTAGTGATCTCTGTGAAGCAATGGATTGTCCTGATAGTTCCTTTTCACACAACAATCTCCCCTCTCTCTGTTCTATGAAATGCAAATCAGAGTCACCCCTGAATCTTGCCTAGAGCAAATTTGAAATGAACCTGGAGCTTTCTCCTCAGGAAAGGTAGGAAACATTTTGAAAGAGGCCAAAGTAACATCTGTAAAACCAGCGGAACAGGAACAGCTTTATACAAAATTTCTGCAAAGTTGTGAAACTCCCCAGCTCCTGAAAACTTGAGGCATTTCTTGGCCTTTCAAAATAAGGTAATTTTCTGCACGTAATTGTTGATTAGTCCCCTCTCTTCTACCAGTTATTTATTAAATTTATATCCCATTTAGTGGTAATTTATTATGTTCTATTGTATTTCAATGTATTTTATTGTGTTGTAAGCTGCCCCGAGGCTTCGGCAAGGGGCGGCATAGAAATGTTATAATAATAATAATAATAATAATAATAATAATATTTTCTTATAATGAACTCAAAGCAGCTTACATCATTCTCCTCCTCCTGCTCTCAGTCCTATTCACACAAGTACAACCCTGTGATGGAGGCTGGACTGAGAGTCTGTGACAGACCCAAAGTCACCCAGTTGGATCCATGGCCAAGCAGGGACTAGAACTCAGATCACCTGAGTCCCAGCCCTATGCTGTTAACCACTATGCCACACTGACTCTCACTTTCCATCACTTTGAAATGAATGGATGAATAAATAATTTTTTTAAAAAAAATCCCTTCACACTCTATAAGTGGAGGAACTGTCTGATTAATCCAGCTCAAATTATGCTTCTCAGCATGCTCCCCAGCTGTGGCTTATCTCCTCCCCTTTGCAAAGATAAGGTGGGTTTTACTGGCGGATGGAGGGACTTATGGTTCAGGACTAGTAGCCAAAGGGATGAAGAAGAACCCAGAAGTGGTCTGGAATTAATTCAAATTGGGTTACCCTTTTTCAAGTCTGGAGGGCTGTATGGGATCAAACATATCTTTTTTGTAAGTTACACATCTATGAACTGAATTAAATTAAAAAGCAAAAAGCTGGTATACTGCAAAGGCACATACAGTCCTTTAGTTAGAAACATATGTTTAGAACAGATTGAGCATTACACCCCAATCATATATACTGCATTTTAAAAAGGCTTCCCTACCTTAAGCTTTCTAACAGCATCTCTCACGACTTCCGTGCCTTTGGGTTGCTCCACTTCTGTACTGCCAAGAAACTGAAGACATTGTTATTTGTGAGAAAAATAATAAAAAATAGTGAGATAGGTTTCCTTAATGCTGGGGTGGGGGAGTGGGGGGGGGGACAATCAGTATTTTCACAGGTAATAATTCATCTCTGGATAACGTTAAGTGCTAAAGACATATAACCATCACCTTTAAGGTTCTGTTAATATTGCATTTTGCTTCATCTTACAAACTTCTGAGATCTGTAGCACAATCTCTATTTTCCTAAGATGCACTACTATACTCCTCTTGTAATGCTGAATACCCTGGAGATGCCACAATTTTTAGCAGTGGAAGTTGCAGCGACCAATGACATACCACACTATTTTACACAAACATTTCAGAGTGTGCCTGTGGTCTGGTCTCTTTCCAATACAATCAACTTGTGGACAACTTTAAAACTAATGACTCAATCGGAAAACCTGCTGTGTCGGCACAGTGCTTAGGGTGAGCACGCCCGCCTCTGTCATGGTGTTGTGCCTCCATGATTTATACTGGCATGCGCGCTGGTATAAGCATTCAGGGTCAAGGTGAAGTCCAAAGGGAACCATGCAGTCATAGCGGCTCGTAGCACTGCTGATTTCAGTAAGAATCGTGATGTCTCGTTTACGCACTGGTCACTTAGGGGAATGCAGCAGGGGTCGTATACACAGTGCCCTAAATGAGCCCTAAACTGTGGCTCACAGGTGGCCAGTGGCGTTCAAGTGCACAGTTGGCACAGCAGCAAATGTCTAGTCTTACCTTCTACACAACAATGCGCTGAAGGTGCAGAAGAGCCAGTGCCATTGCAGAAATCTGCTAAACCTGTAGCTACAGCGAGCATGTCCACTTCAGCACCAAGCACAAATGACATTCTCTCAACTAGAGGTCCACAAATTGGTTTACCGGGAGACTGTCAGGAAGCTGGAGGAGTTTATGTGCTCATGAAGTGGTGCTAACTAGAGGTAATGCTAACAAGGGAAACCCTTCCCTTACCATCAGTCTCTAAGGACAAATAGAAGTTAGCTGAAACTTCCCTTAGCTGGTACTCTTACAAGTGATCTGAGATCAGGCCTTCTTTAACTGTCTCATCAGTGATGTGGGAAGGGTTTCCTTTCTAGCACTAGGAAGGGGAAACCTGGGTGGGCTCCTCATATGTTCATGACCCACACTGGCAGTGGCCAAGGGTCGCATGTGGCCCCTATGGTATCAGGGATGCATTTTCCAAGGTCTTCTCTCAGTGTCCACATCGTTTTACTTTAATTGTCTCCCTAATGAATTCCAAAATATATAACTTGCGAAGATGGAATGAAACCTAGACTGAAGCAATCTTAAGTTCCTGAAAATGGAAAGGGATGCAAAACAATTTGGGCTAACTCCCTCTTCCTCCTGCAAACTTCTCCCCAAACTTTGCTCCTGAGTGGCAGGGGGCCACCACTGCTTCTGTTGGTAGAGGGCTCCACTGCCTTCCAGGCCTTTCCTCTAACAGGGCTCTTTTGTTCATGGGAGGGCTCACTGGAGCCTGTCACGATCTGAAGCAATGGCACAGCTTCCCTGGGATGTGATTGAGAAGGGCAGCATGACTCCCTCCAGGTACCTGCAGGACCAGGACTAGTAGATATTTGCAAGGACTGTTGCCTGTGCAGTCATGCAGGGCAGCTGGGAGCTCTGCAAGGTTTTGTACGAGTCTTCCCTGCACTGCTCCGTTTTGCCACAGCCGCTTGGGCTTTGATGGCGGCTGCTTTTTGTTCTCAATCCTGCTTCTAGTCATGCCATGCCTTAACCTTGCCTTGCCTCCTTAAAGGCTCACAACTCTGCCCTTCCTTCTGGTCCAGCCCTACCCTGTCAGGCACCTCCCTGATCCTTGTCTTCTCTGACCCTCTCCTCTGCCTCTGCCCCTGCTTTGCCTTGCTGGTACCCAGTGTCAGCTTATATCTGGCTTTTGTCTTTGTCTCTGGCCCCCGTGCATTCTGCCAGGACCTCCATTTTTCTCCAGCACCCTTGGTCCTGGTGTTCTAGCAGTGGACCCCTGCTACCTACTCCTTGGTGCTTGCAAAGCCTGTGATGTCGCAATTATATACTAAGCTACCAGTTAACTACTGCTTGAGTTGTGGCTCAGAAGCAAAGGATCAAATTCAGGAGTCTCATTTTTTGGGCTCAGAGTTGATGTTTGAGAGATGCTAACAGATACTCTGGTGGTAAGTGTAGCTCTGATGGACTATGGCACTGAGCTCTTGCTGCTCCTGCTGTCGTCGTCGTTGTTGTTGAATAGGCTGCTTCCTCCCCACTTCCCTTACTAAACCCAGTGTCTCCAGAGGCATTCTCAAAAGTTATATCTGAAACAGGAGTCATGTGTTTTATATTATTCCTGGGTTTAAGGAATACAGATTTGAAAACCAGCATTCCACAAGTTTGCATAGTAAAATCATACTCTAGAAGTAACTGCAGAAACTGACTCAGATTTTCAGTTGTTTCTTCAGCCTCAAGGATCTCTGTTCCCAAGAAAGGAAAGGTAACCTGACATATTTATTTTTAATACTGCCAACAGCCTTCTACTCAGCCACTGGATAAAATAATTATCTTGCAAAATCATTGGAATTCACACTATTAATTTGCCCTAGAGAAGCAAAATAAGAAAAATGGCATGCATTTCTTTTAATAGCGCTGAAGTAGTGGGTCATGGGTTATTTCAGCATTTATGGAAGCACAATTCTCTTATCTCAATTCTTCCAGTAATCTGAAACAATGGCTTTCAGAGATAAATGTCAATAGAACATCACGCAGAACCCTACAGTCACACGTTTATGAAGCCTAACTGTATTGTATTGTATTGTATTGTATTGTATTGTATTGTATTGTTGTATTGTATTGTATTGTATTGTTTTTGGTGTGGAATCACAGATAAAGGGACATTCAGTAAAGAAATAAAATAACATAAAATAAGGGTGATACAATAAGTCAAAATATTATTTTTGTGGGAGCTACGCCTAGCGGCTATATTCTTGATTTCCCATATCAAATTCAATCACTCGATTCACAATCAACATTATTTAGCCAGTTCCTAACATTGTAATCATGTTGATGCTCCTTCTATCTCCCATTTTTTTTCTTCCCAGTACATTAAAAAAATCTATCAACTGAGTTTGGTATACTATTAGTTTAGTAGACGTTCTAAAGAAGTCCACATTTATATCTCATAGTCTGTAGTGAAGAGTATTTCCCACTAATTTCAAATTAAAATCATTTCATCAACCACACTTTATGCATGCCAGTTGTGTAACCCAACTCAAGTTGTGCCGGTTGTTTCCTCAGTGCATCTGCCTAATTACTCCCCCCTTCCGTTTGCACCATCCACTTTAGAGATATAAACAAGAGAACAGCCCAGTGTAGGCTCCTGTGGCAAATAATGTATGAACACTTTGGGATACTGCTATTCTTCCAGTAAGCAAGACCCTTACAGGGTAGACATCCTGGGAATCACATGCTTTGAACTCTTGGAGGGAACTGTGGGCTATAAGCACGACTGCTGGGTTACTGAACTGAGCTGTAGAGAGAAAGCTGTGAGTGGCAATATGCCCATTTACTACTTTTTCATTATGCTAATGTTGACTCCCCCCTCCCACTTTCTCCCCTTTGGGGCATTCTTAGACATGAAACACTGAACGTACATTTGTATTATTCAAGCATTTTTCATAAAGAAAATAAACATTTTCCATTGCATTTCATATTGCTTTGAAAAGTCCAGACGGTTCTTTATATAGATGGACTATTTAGATCTGCACCGGCTTTCACGTACATAGCAGCGACTTCAACTGTGTCAGAAAAGACAAGGCCAATGTGACAAATATATACTTGCACAGAACTGGCTACTCCATCTGCAGTGCATCCCAGGGCATTATGTTTCTCCTGCATTCCAGAACAGACTTTCTGGAACAGATGCAGGCTTAGGTAGGTGCCTCCAATAAATGGTTATATATAATAAAGCTGACCTTTTCTTCTGTTCATACTAATAACTGAATAATATGACCGTATTTTGTTTCATTTTTACTGCATGATAAAGGTTGGAAATTACTTTTGGATAATTGAACCAGAATTTCAAGACACATTAGAACTTTACACAAATCCTTCACTTCCAGTAGAGAGCAGTGTAGGATTTGCTACTAAGAAGATAATAATTGCTTCCTTATTGCTCTCTTAAAAATTATTCTTCAAAATTCACTGACTTTTACTGCCTTTGAATAATTGAATGCCAACCATTTTTGGTGCACATATCTGCCACCATATTTGAACCAACAAGAGAATCTTCAAAAAGTTATTATGGCATATGTTTTGTGGATGACAGCTGCTTCACCAGACGCATGAAGTAATATCCTCAGTTAGAAAGTTACATACTGATTTTCCATTTCTTTATTCCATTCCCATGTAAACAATAGGGCCAAAGATCATTAAATGCAAGTGGTCCAATAGGTCTGAAATGAAAGTATCTCCTGACTTCACTAAACAGAAAAGAGGTTGAATCTCATCCAGAAAACCTGCTGCCAAGGGTGTATTAATGGCTCTCTTCTCATTACAGAAATTAGGAAGGAGGTTGATTTATGTCTGAGAGAATACTAAGTATCCCAGAACTTGCACCGCTATAATAATGCAGATGGCACTGAAATGCAGCAACAGACAAACAATCCGAGAGTTTCAGCCAATGGACTGTTAATTGCATTGTAAGGGATGGCAACACAAATCCTCTCTATAAAAGCTTTTTATATGGCAAGGTAGCATATGTATAGTGATAATAAAACAAGTTATAAAATGCCCTGTGTCTCTAGGCATGTCATATTGTCCAGAGATAAAGTTGAGGTAATGCATATTAGCCCTCTACCTATAAGTAATTCCCCGCCTATGGAATGCGTTCCCCAGAGAGGTCTGCCTGGTGCTGTCGTTATTTGTTTTTTGGTGCCAGGTTAAGACCTTTTTATTCCAACAATATTTTAATAACTTTTAATATTGGTTTATATAGGTT